GACAATTTAGATATGAATTAAGTTCTGAATTCTCATGATATTTAACGATTCTCCATCTTTCTGATGGTATTCTAATTGGAGACCTAATCGATAATTATTGTTATTCTTTTACCATATTAACTGAATTTACCTCATATTCTGATAATGTGATCAATTATTACTGAGAATTTTTCTCTTTCATTTTTAATTTGATTTTCGAAATGGTTATGATTAATATTATTCACTTGTGCTTTATGATTGTTTGTCAGCTGACTATTTATTAACCCTGATTATCATTGTTTAGTTCAAAAATTGGAATTCGATTTAGTTTTTGATTAATTTTATTATTATTCCAAAACAATCAATGAAGTTAAGGTGATCTAAATTTAATGTCAAACTGTTGCAACAAAATGAGAAAATATTGAAAAGTTGAATTGGATTTATTATCAAGTTTCTGATAAACATCATGATAATTTTCAGGTTAATTTTTTGACGATTCAGCTGAAAAAATTTTCAAGTGCTCGTAATGAAATGGTAAGATTAATGTTGTCAAGTGATTTATCCAGCAATCAGTTGATTCAATTTAGTCTGTGAACATTTAAATCGGTTAAGTGTAACTGGTGTTTGGGATTTTTATGGTTCTCATTAACATTTAGATGCAAGGGATTGATCATGAACTCAAGGGAAAAAAACGTAAAAGTTTCTTTAAGTGTAAGATTTTCATTGGTGAAATCAAAAGGATCGATAGGTATTGAAGGTGATGGAGATAAAGAAGTGATGATGATAAATTTTGATGAAGATGAAGATGATAAGCTGGTGAAATTGTCACTTCGTCTTTCACAATCTTCTTTTAGAAAGTAGATTGTAAATTCACAATTGGTCAGGAAAAAAAACTGTTCTATCCCCAAAAATATCGGTGGTCATCTGTTAAGATTCAAGTTCTCTTCATGAAAGATTATATCAGTTTCTATTTTTTTCAACTCACAATCTCTCTCTCTCTCCCTCCCTCTCATACACACTGATTATCATCATGATTGAACTTTTTCCTTTTTCTATCAACATTTTCTCAGAGATTTAGCCTCTCTTACTGAAGCAATAGCCTGAAAATAGCTGAAATTGTACTGATGATAAAGATATAACTAATGTTATCCAACTGATACCTGGAGTGTGACAAAATTGTTACTAAGCTTTTCAGGATGATGATGAAGATGAAGACCTCGGAAGGAAATAGCTTAATGTTTCTGATAAATACTATCCCAGAATCTCAAGATTTTGATACAACAGATAAGGATGATGAAGATGATGAAGATGATAACGTCTTCTTTTGTTTTATATCTTCAAAATCAAGTATCTTATCATTATTATCCTCAGGTATCTGTTACCTTACCCTTAGAGTTTGGCTGATCAAATAGCGTGAAAGTTATTTGATGAAAACGAGTGAAACTTTCCCCATGAAAAAAAGTGAAAAAAAACTAATTCTCTAAGAAGAACAGAAAAAAAACAGTTTTCTCCTTCATCTATGTAATGATAATCATCATCATCATCATCATGACCAAAGGTAACCCAATAGACTCATAAACTATTAATGATAACATGAAATTAAGTTGATAATGATGCCCACCGATGCTACAAAACAATAAGGAAAAACATAAATCACTCATGAAGTATTTTTGTCAAAATTATATTCACCAGGAAAGGGTAAATATTAAAAAGTAGCAATCGTTTCAACTTGATTAAAGTTGACAATCATGTTGATTATGATAATATGATGATAATATAATCAAGGTAATATATCAATTGTTTAACATAATCTACATTCAAAATGGTAATTTATTAGATCAATGTTACTCAATGTAAAGGTTTAGGTGTTTTCCACTCCCAATAATCACTCCCTGTTCATTATTTATGCTGCTTCTTATCACCTCAAACATTTCCACCTCCACCTTAACTTTTATCCGCCTTAACCTTTTTTCTTGCTCTTCATCTTATTCAGCTTATCCTTTTAACACCTTACACATTGTTTCTCATAATATCTAATGTTTTCTGTGTTTACCTTTGCTTATCATCATCAACCCCACCTTCGTAATCACCTTCATCTTTTACAAATATTCGGTATCACAACAATAACAATCTCACCTTAAGATTATAATAAGTAAATAGAGTAATAATCTCATCTCCTTTATCTTCCCATATTCTTATTCAGAAAAAAATGATATTTTCTATTGTTTCTCAATCTATTTGTTTATACTTCTTAATCTATAATCCTTTCACCTTTACTAATCCGGGAGGATGATCACCAATATTACCGATTACCTTGTCTAATCAAAAAGCAATCAGAATTTGGTGAATCTTTTTTTTTCACCTTCTCTTTTCATCTCTATCTTTCTCTGTTGGTTTTTTCTTTCTATTACTTGAGAAAATGTTTTCATCTGCTAATTGTAAATATCTCAGTTGATTGGATTATCGATCAATAGAAATCAATTGATTGTTTTTCGTTATCAATAAACTTTTGTCTATTATATTTCAATGGGCAAATGTTATTTTTAATCATCAATTTTTATTATTATTATCAAAGTTCAGCTAATCTGCAACATTTACTCATGCAGATTACATTGAATAAGCTATAATTAGTCACACACATTTGAATTTTAACCTTAATTATCATTATTATTATTAGTATTTTGTAATTACATTTAACTGTTACATATTAATAGATGATCATTTAATCCTATTGAACTGAATTTAGATTTTAATTATTGCAAAAACTCTGAAATTAGTTGATTCTCATTGATTTAATTAGCTCATGACTGGTAGACTTGTTTTCCAGGTTACAGATTATAATTAAAGCTTTTGGGTTAACTATTTAGAGACTGACAATTGGCTAAAATTATCTGCTAATCCAATATAATTAGTAATATGGAATAAGATTAACAAGAAGAAACCTTAATCCAGTCAATGAAGGTAAAAAGGGTCATCAATTTGGTATCGAAATCAATTCTAATTCTGGTCAAAGTGAAAAGACTAATTAGTAATATTAATTAAATATGATCTTGATTGAAAAAGAAAATGAATCAACGAAAAAAAATGGAAACTTTTTTCTCCTTATTATTAGAACTTTTCGTCGAACTTTCCTCAAGCTAATTATTACGGTCGAATTATTTAGATTAAGTGTTTAAATTGTTCTAGTTGACCAGTTAATTGGTTGGTCTACAAGCATAACAATCAACACAACAATGTATTAATAACAATTCACAGGATGATATTAATATACAAAAAAAAACGAGAAAGGGAAAAGTTATTTACCTTTTGTAATAACATAATGATCAAGCCTGAATATCAACAATTAACTTGAAACTATTATTTGCAATTGAGTAACAATTTGATCATTTTCATTCATTAAAATAATTTGTTCAACAATTAGTGCGAAAGTTTAACAAATGATGAGTATCAATGAAATCAATTGGTTGAATCACTATAGATAATCAGGAAAAACAATTCGATAAGATTTTCATCATTAAGGATAAACACACAATCATTATTAAAATCGTACATTGTTGTTACTGATTAAGATGATGACTATGATAATGATGATAATTATGATGGTGAAGAGGATGAGGATGAAAAGGTTACATCAGCTACTCATTTTGCTCAATCGAACGCCCTTAAGATGAAGATAAAATGATGATGCGGGAAAAAAGTATAAAAAATGGGAAGATAAATCATCTCTCTCTCTCTCTCTCAGATTGTACATCATCATTACTTATCTTCTCATCATTATCTTCATAATCATCAACCACCCACTAAGAGTTTACCTACGTATTTACTTTCTATCTTCCTATCGAGATAAACCTGGTCTTGAATATTTTTCATGATACAATTACTGAACTACTGAATATCATGATAATCATGATGATAGAAAAAAAAATCATGCTATCCAAATGAATGGAATCAATTTTTTAACTATGGATCGTTTTTTGTTCCATCTCGTTAATCTTCATTACTTAATTAGTCATAAATGTTTCATCATCTGAATTACTCTGACTCATTATTAGAATCATTGATTAGCACCTTGATCATGAAAATTTTCCGTTAATTATCATTATTTTACTTTTAAATGAACATCGGATTATATGATAATACCTTTGATTATATTCTTAATCTTCGAACAGGTAAAAAACTAATTAGCATGAGGGAGGAAAATCTTAAACTTTAATTGAAAGTTTTAAAAGGAAAGTTAATCAATTGGAGAGAAAAAAGTTGTAATTCTTTTCTCTGACAAATCATTGGGAGTTGGAACTTATTTAAATCAACAGGGAGATAATGATGATGATTATAAGTGGAAGATGAATTAGTTATTCTGATGACTGAACATTTTCCATGGAGAAACATGAAAAACATAGGAAATTAATATTTTGTTTGCTGTCGAAAATTTTTAAAATTATTCTAACTTTTTTTTTCTCCTTCGAAAACATCATGTTGACTAATGTCATCGACAAGAAACAAATTTAATTAGATTCGTATTATTATTAAGTGATTAATATGTTTATCGCAATTCAATTGTCAACATTTTTTTTTAATTGCAAAAAGTTTGAATAATCAATTGTTACCTTTTTCTTTTGATATAATAGACTAACTAAATTATTGATGGTTTGCATTGATCGGGACAATTAAGACTCTCAAGTATTCATATTGATATTATCACTATGAAAAATTGATAACAATTGAGATGATCAATGTGAAAATCAATTGATTGTCAAGTTAATGGATAAATAAATTATTTTATATCATTATAATTAACTTTTAATGATAATTATCACAGATACATTAGTAATTTATATTAATTTGGCTATTTTATTTGTCTCATTATTGATTTAATTGTCTGAGAAACTTTGTTTATTTGGGTTAATCATCTGTAAAAAGCATTTATAATTAACAATATCTACTGGGTTTCCTTTGGTAATTATGTTTGTATCAAATTGTTGATCTTTAATGGTTACAATTAATTTTGATGATTAACTTACCTTATGTTCAACTGAATTTTGTAAAGGTATCGCTGAAAAATCAACATAGTTACCAGATGATGAGGCCATTTTGTAACAATTAACTAAATCACTTTATGTCTCACTTATTGAATTGCACGAATAACTTAATTGTTGATGGTTAGAGTTGATGATCAGCAACAATCAATTGTTGATATGAATGAAACAGAATCAATCAGGTTGGTTCAAATTGTGAATATTTGATATTTGTCAAGCTCAAAACTTTGTTAAATTTTCAATCAAATTTAGAGCTTAATTTTGATATGATGATTTAATTGTTGTTGTTTTAGATATGATTAGAGCGATTATGTAAATCATGAAATAATCAATTAAAGAGGAGAAACAAAATTAATACAAATCATAAAGAAAATAAAACAAATAAGGAGAAATAAAAATGAGACGTAAACAATAATTAACAATCAATCTTAATTGTTGATTAGTTAACGATGGTTTGATGAACTTCACCAGGTAAAATCATTTGTTATCTTTCCTTGATTCAGTCTTGTTCAGTTCTGATAATTTGAATTTCTAAACCTCTGAATCTTTGTCAGAATCAACGTCATGCGTAGACAATCAATTTTCGTTAGGATTCTAATCAACTCAGCATTTAACAATCAATTACTTCAAATTAGAACAATGTTACGATCAAGTTAATTGTTCCTTTTGCTATCGCTAACTAACTGTTAATTAATCACCTCAATGATTGATCGGATTATCCATGATTCAAGTTTAAACTCCTAAATATTAATAATTACTGATTTCGGCTAATTGTTCATTTGATTGAAAATTAATATTCCTTTTAATTTGATTTGGTTTCAGTAATTTGGCTCATTTTGTATAATAATTAGTTAAATTTCCGATAGAAATTAGTTCAGTTTACTTTCTCTTTTAATTGTTATTGTTACGATGGCTGATCAAGATGATTTAAACTCTTTAATTGTTAGTCAATATGCTGAACAATTTAGTTACTTAAATTGGTTAGAAGATTAATTGATTTAAAGATTAAAAGATTATAAGGATTTGTGAAAATCTCGAGGATTTTTTGCCTTATTATTTTGGTTTGAGTAAATTGTAAAGACTTGTAATGAGATGAAATTAATCAAAATGGAACAAGCAAGTTGTCAAAATTAATTAATATAATTAAGCAACTAGAAAATAAAGAAACAATTAACATAATCAAGCTTCTTTGACACATAAATTGATTGAGCAAAGAAATAGGCAAATATGGAAGATGGGAAAAACATCTAATAAGTAATAGAATCAAAATTTTAACAATCAATTTTTTCTTGCTGAGGTCGATTGAAAGATATACACTGTATGTACAAGTTATTTAAATTGTTACAATTTTTACTATTACTGTTGTTGGTATTATTATTATTACTACTACTGCTATCGTTGTTATTATTGTTATTGTTATTATTATTGTTGTTGTTGTTGTTGTTGTTGGCAGTGGATGGATCATTGGACTGGGTCTTGGTGCCGGTGGCTGTACAGGTATTACAATTGTTTAATTGTTTGGTCGTTGTTTTCCTGTCTTTATTTAATTGTAAAGCTGCTTTGTGCAATGATTCAACAAAATTAGGTACTCCTGAGGCAGCCATCCAATTGTAAGCTGGATTAGGGAAGGCTGAACAAGGATCATCAAAATAAGTTAACATGTAATCAAATCCATTCTCGTTGAAAGTTTTGTGTGGTTTAATCACCATTTGCGATTCATAATCAGAAACTCGAACATATTTGTTAGAAACTGGACAATTAGGGTGGTCAACTGCACGAGAGACTAGGACCATTATGTTGTTTTTATAATCAATTATGGCTCTTCTAACATAGCAATAATCACGACTGTACATTGGAAACTGTAGGAAGAAAGAGAGAGAGAGAGAGAAGGAAATTTTGATAACAACTGATTAATATTGTTAAAAGTAACATATAAATATGAACCATGGAAATAGTCAGAGAAAAATACTTACAGGGTAATGCATAACCCAGTGAATTACTTCATTACCAGAATCGTTTAAGTGACTACCATTTCTTGCCTTTTTAAACACATTCTGTTTATCAACAATCTCTAATTTGATTACCAGTTGATCCCATTTTTTTCTGTAATCTAAATCTCTTTGGACAGTGAAGAAATCTTGAGCAGGTACATCTTTGAATGTTCCAAAAACTGAAGGTGAGAAAAAGAGATGAGGAAACAATCATGATTAAAGGAATCGTAACGATCAAATGAATACCTTTATATTGATATAATCCATTAGAGTTAATTTCTCTTCTCCAGACTTGAAATTCATCTCGCAAAATTATCGCTTCCCAGCCTTTAGATGATAATAGTTTTTTGGTTGTATCTAAATCTTCAATTTCATCGTGGTTATTAGTGTTAATCTCATTTGAATGATCTTCATCTGATGATCTACCATCTTCATCTATTGAATAATTGGAGTGGCTATTAGATGTTGGTGAACTGGTTGACTTGGGTGTTTCTTTCCTCGCCAATGAACATGGTGGTGTTGATGGTAAGGTGGCATCGTTGTTATACTTGGATGAATTGATTGAACCAAACAATTGATCAAAATCACTGACTGTCTCCCATATTTCGTCTTCACTGATTCCTTTATTGTTCCAGAAATGGCAAGAAACACCGGAGAGCATGAACCAAGGGGAATACTTTGATCGGTGACAATGTGAATACCAATTGGATGGACGATAGATTAACAGTCTAGGTTGGAATCTGTTAAACAGCAGAGATAAAATTGAAGATCTATAACTCAAGTAATTGCGAAAAAAAATCAATCGTCTAAACCTCGAGTACAAGTTCACGTAAACATGTTGACTTATTAACCGAGTGTACGGAAAACCTTTCATTTGGTGTTTCTTAAATATAGATTGAGATGTAGAGAAAAAAAAAAGAAAACAATAATCAACAGATCATTTAATGTACTATCATAGTAGTACAGTCGGAACGACAAACAGCATAAAACATTGTTAACATGAATAAATCAAGAAATTGAAAGTTAATTGTTGAAAAAGAGAGAAACAAAATTAAAAATGATGATCAGTTTCAAATGAAATCAAGAAAAAAAAACACGTAAACATATGATCAATGCTTCACTCAAGGTGGAACCCACGTGATATCATCCATATAATCACAATCTACAAACAGTTTCAACAATAATTTTTGCAATATCGAAACAATAATCAACAATTAATTCACAGTTAAATGAGTTAAACAATTTACAGAATTTATTGAATGTGAAAACATTGAACTTTACCTTTTACTTTAGTAAACAAAAGGTTCATTTCCGATGAGCAATTTGCCGCCAAATTTAATTTCTTTTTCTTTTAACCATAAAATAGTTTCAAGTTTATTTGCTCGATTTAATTATTAAATTTGATAATCATTTAAATGGACCATTTTTTACTTGCAAATAATTTAAATTGTTATTAATAATATAATTTAGTTAGAAATTAAACTAAACTTTTGAAATTTTTTCGAAAATTAATCAATTGAACTAGATTGAATTCCGTAAGATGGAGTTACCGTCGTTTCATCACGAATTTAAATTTAATTGTTGATTAGAAAGTTAATCATTTCAATTATTTTGAATGTAAATGATGGTGATGATGAGAAATTGATTGTTTTTGGAATGATTTTCAGAAATGGATTTGGTTTTCTTGGGTTTCCATCCTGAACCATTAATTTAATTTGGAAAGAATAGGAAAATGAGCAAGATTTGGAAAGAGAAAAATTAATCAACAATTAATAATAACGATCGATTTTGACCTTATCGAAATCATCGGACATTGAGATTATCTTTTTCTATTTTTGCTCGATTTTCACCTTCGATCGTTTCACTTGGATATTTACAAACTTTACCAAATTGTGATCTTTTCGTTTGAAATGCTGACTTATGCTCATTTTCAATTCTTATTTTAAATATTATTTATCAACTGAATTACAAGGCTGATGATTTCGAGAAGAGTAGGAGGATAATTAAGTGAGTCGAATCTCAGAATAACCAGTAAATGTTCAAAATCTGTTCAAACGTAAACAATCTTAATTTCGACAGTTGATTCCTTCTGATGGTTTAGAGCTGAAATTTTCTTGGCAACATTAAGAATACACAGCGATTGCTCTGGTTCTTGTGAAAATCTCTATTTCTCATCTTGAGCTAATTTCGCTATTTTTAATTGGTACTAATTGAGAAAATGGGAGGAGAAAATGATTGCGAACAAGGCTCAGAAAAGAAAAGACTAACAAATTGATTCCATTTTACTTTAATATTTCTATTCTATTACTTTAATTTTTCCAAGTTTTATTCGATTCTCGGTGTGTCAGTTAATTAAATCGTTAATCAACATGTCCAACAATCCTGATGTAAGTAAATTGTTCTGATAAAAGTGTAATAATCCTCCATAGAAAAGTCTTCTAATAAATTCATCCCAAACAATCAAATGAATTGTGTTGACCTAATTCACTTCGTACCTTGTAGTTAAACTGTTGATTTACTTAATTGTTAACTTCATAATTTAACTGTCATTTGATTGAGTTTTTAGTTCATCACTTCAAAAGCTTCACTTTCGATGTTAACTTTCAATTTGTACATTAGATCAGAAAGTTCGAATTCTTATTTGATTGTTTCGTGTATTTGTTAATTTTGATAAACTATTAATCGAATCAGTTTAAAGGACATTTCGATTCTTTTTTCGTTCTTCTCTCAATTTCCTTGTTTTCTTCAAGTGTGTAAATTGTGTTGAGATTAATTTTTCAAAAGAAATATTAGTTAACCGAAGCTAAAAATAAGTTGATAATCGTTGGAGTGATAATCCATTTCTCTCTTTCTTGTTTTCTTTTTCTGAATCCACATCCTCATCCTCATCCTCATCTCTCTCTCTCTCTCTCTCTCTCTCTCTCTCTCTCTGCGTCAGTTTGTTTAAAATTGATCCGTAAATTTATTCGCAGTGTAAATGATCAACTTGGCTTCAAATCAAAACCATCTCTTCGCTCAAACTGTCACCATCGAGAGAAAAGTCTCTTAATTTGATGAATAAATTTAAAAAAAGAAAAGATTTTCATTTAATTCTAATAAGTGAACATTTCTTTCCACTATCTTACAGAACAAACTTCTTCGAGATGCTTGTTCCAAAGGAGATTTAGCTGAAGTGAAACGATTACTCGGAAAAGGAGCCGATGTTAAATCTCGAGACACCTCAGGAAATACACCTCTTCATATGGTCGATGAAGGACAGTTCGAGGAAATAATCGACCTTCTGATCAGCAAAGGAGCCGATATCAACAAAGGCGATCGCAATATGTGGACTGCTCTTCATTGGGCTTCCGTTAAGGGCAAAAACGACGTGGCCAAGTGTCTAATCAAACATGGTTCTAATATCAATGCAAAAACTGTCGATGGATTTACACCCTTAATGGCAGCAATTAACGGATTCTACAATAAAGTTGGTGATTATGCCAATGAAGGAGCCGAGCACATATTCAAAGATGTCTGCTTTGCCATAGCCTCCAATATGACCAAGGCCGATATGATTAACATTAAAAACAACGAGGGTTTTAATGTGCTAGATTTTGACAACGCTCTCAACAACAGTTTCGTCCTTTCCATGCTTGAAATTATTCTCAAATAAATAAGCAAACAATTAACCCGCTGATCAACATCATCACATTTTAATCGTTTTCAATGAGACATGAACGATAATCAATGATCTTATCCATTTTCATAACAATTTAAATCATGGTTTTATTGTGTGAGAACCTTTGATTAGAATCAAATCAATCAGAATCGTCCAATCAAATGACATTAAAAGCGTAAACATTTTGACTTATCAGGCCAATAACCTTTTATTTGGGTGTTTCCAATACTCTAATCGAAGAGAAGAAAAAATCAAAGGCAACAATCAACTAATCATTATACTAATATAATATTAATCGCGAAAAGATAAAGTTAATTGTTGAAATGAAGGAAAAATTAAAAAAAACATAACAAGTAAATTCTTAAGATGGAGTTACCATCGTTTCTTACGAAATTTGAACTTGATTGCAAGTTTAATTGTTCTTAATTTGTGCCAGCAATTAAGAGTTGATTTGGAATTACTCTTGTAAAGTGGAATCAGTTTTGTTTTGTATTTCTTTAAAATCATTATTTCATTTGGAGAGATTTTAGAAAATGATTAAGATTTGGAAAGAGAAAGGAAAATAAAACCAACAATTAGTTGATTGTTATTTGGATTGAATTACATATTAATTGATGGGAATGATGAACATGAGGTAATATTGAGACTAAAAATGAATGAAAAACAATTAGATGATTAGCTAATTATCGTTTCTTTTTGCTTCCTCAGTCTTAATTTCTTTGATTGAAGATATAATAGTTTGATAAAAATATTACAATGCATTGTTTTCATTCAGATACAGTTAAAAGTTACAATCAAGTAAATCCAGTTAATGGAATTATTATCATTTCTTTGGAAGAATCAATGAAACTTGTCATCAATGAAGTCGATATCAGAGTTGAGAAGAGGATAAAGATGATGAATGGATTTAAAAGAATCAAAAATTTTTAGAATGTGATGAAAAAAAAACACATATGATGAAATGGACTTCAGGAAGTGGATTGAAGATGCGGAAGTGGGTGGTTTACAGAGTGAGGAGATGAAATAATCACAATGAATAATAATAACAAAGATAATAATAATTATAATACACAACAAGATAACAGGACAACTTAATCAACGAAATCATTGAAAATTGATTGTTTCTCCTCGTCCGTTCATCCTTTTCATTTGTTTGGGGCTTAATTTTTTACTTTCAAATTTTAATTTGATTTAAATGATTCTTATTGTGTGTTAATTAGCTGATCTATTAATTGTTGCTCTTTGTAATCGGTCTGCATTTTTTTTTGTTTAATTGTTGCGTTTTCGCAAATCACAGTTTTCGTCTTTTCAATTTTAGCGCTTCTCTTGCATTGTTATTACTATTGTTACAAAAGTAAGTTTGTTTCTCTTTCTCTTCCCCAATCAAATAAATTAATTAATAATTAACTAATTAACTGGCCTTTTTGTTTGTTTAGATACAGTTGATATAATATAGTATATATAAGAAAAAGTCGTTGGCACATTTTTAGGATATTTGTTGAGAATCCTCGTTGTCAAAGAGATCACAATTAAGGAAAGTCCATTTTACTTTCTTGTTATGATAAAAAAAAACTCGAGGGTCGAATTTGGTAAATGATTAAGATTTTGATGGTTCCAATGATAGTTAAATGGTTCCTTGATTTAATCTCTTCACAGTGTTTTCCTTAATCAATTTAGCAGTTAATGAGAACTAAATTAACTGGTCACAACAAATTATCTTCATCCAAAGATAAAGTTAAAAATATATGTACATATATTTATATATATTTATATCGCATGTTAAGGTTTATGGAATCTGAAAAAAAGAAATGAATAAAGAAAGTTAATTAATTGGGTGAAAATCGAAACAATTTAACAAATGGTTATATCATAAATCAATCAACGTCTCAAATTTGATGATAGAATGGAACTTCTATTTTGATGAGTGAACAATATTACGATCGTAAGTCTATGGATCAAAATTGTTATTATTATTTTCGAAGTCAATGTGATAAATGCAAGGTCAGAGTGAGAATTAACTAATTATCTTATGTATCTCAACGAATTAATCTTAAGATGATTGTTAGAGTTGTTGACAAGTTATTCTGATAAGATGTAAAGTCCTTTTGAGAATCAACAATTAAGTAAGTTAATAAAGAGAAACAAGAACTAAAATCAACAACAATTTAGTTATGGAAAAATGAAAAGAAATGATATATCTTAATACTTAAGCATCCACACTCTCATCATCATCAATATCCTCTGGTGTTTATCTAATGAGAAGGAAGTAAAAATTAGTATTTCTGTTGTTTTTCATTTTCTTCCAATAGTTCTAATAGTAAATTAATCTGATTCAGAATAATTATAATAATACTTAATATATAAGTTGAATGATAGTAAATAAAGATATTAGAATAATTTATATATTGTTTCATCTTGTTTAGTGGTTTTGGTGAGACGATGTTGATATTAGCCAAATGGATGATAACCAAAGGAAACGGAAATAGACAAGTCAAGATGATTTTAATCAGTATAATACCTTATCAAGTGTCGACTCTCATCATGAACAGCCATTTCTAAGCTTTTAAATTCATTAAGTTCCTTACGAATAGCAGCCTAAAATTGATCAAGAGAGAGAGAGAGAGAGAGAGAGAAAGAGATTAATCAAACAAGTTAATTGATCAACAATTAAATAAAAAGTAAATTTCAATCGAGTGAAAAGTTTTGTTTGCAATAAGATTAACATAAGGATTATCATTATTATTATTGAAATTGATCAATATGATCAAGTATTATGATCATAAGCAGGCAATTTTGATGGTTGGTGATAACTTAACTTCTTGAGCTTTGCACTGAAGTAATTTGATGAAATACATTAGCAACAATTAAACAATTAAAGTCTCTTGAAGGGAAAATAAAATTAAGTGATAATCCTAATCCAATACATACACATGTATATTAGATTATTACAAGATACAAACCTTATCCTCTGGAGTTAATCTTGTCCATGGTTTATCAGCTCGACGATCATAATCATGGGCCTGAGTTACTTCAACATAATCATTAAAACGAATGACTTTACGTTCCTTGAGCTCTTCTAACGTGGGACGGAAGCTTAACTGCTACAATTAGTAAATTATTAGAGAAGAAGAGAGAAAAAAAATGAGAAAATTAGATTAGGTATTAATCGGATTATAAATGAGTGGATATAAAGTGAAAGTAATTTCGATATAAGAATAAGAATTGAAAGAGAAAGAAAAAAAAAGTGAGAATCTCAGCAAAATTTATCATGTAATTTATCACAATTGAACAATTTTATCCAATTAATTAAAACCAATTCCAATTACAATTGAGAAACATGTAATAATAACAATGTTTTCTTTGCAATAAGAGTTGATACAATTTGGAAAACAAATTTTAATCGGTACTTTATGGAAAATTAATCTAATTAATGAACAATCAATGATGATGATAGATGATAAAGAGAAAGACGTTTCAAGATGATCAAGAGTTACAGGGTGTTGGATAAGTTTACCTTTGAGGGGAAAAGTTTATTTCCATAGATTTAGAGACTCAACTAAATACTTGACAACCACGTGGTGGGTATGCCACGACTCCGAATGGAGCCCATAGGCCCCTGAACAACAATCGAACACCCTGTAAGTTGGTAAGAGCGAAATAAGATTCTTTCTAATCTTATTGCCCATGACTATTTAATCGACTCTCTTTCTTTTCTCAACTTTCTTCTTTTCTTTTTTACATTACTTTTTCTCTCTTCCTATTCTGTATATGTGTTTTTCCTTTGCCTTTGGAACAAAAAATAAGTTCTTATAATCGAAGAGAGATGAAAATTGTTCTAATGTTCTAATGTTCATGTAATGAACTAAAGAAATCAAACGAAAACTCAGTCTTCTTTTTCTATTTTATCTTCTTATTTCTTTTTTCTTTTCTTCTTCTTTTCTTTCATTATCTTCAATCAAAGTCAATTCTCCAATGAAATGAAGTTACCACATTTAGTTAATTCTAATCATAAACTTTTCACCTTCACCATCAACATCATCATCATCTTATCATTAACATCGCCATCAGTTGCATTTATATTAAGTGATAATGGTCAACAAGACATTAGAACAGAAACAACATCAGCACAATACGAATCATCAACATCAACATCATTCTCATTAACATCAACTCCACCATCAACAACAACAGTATCACAATCAGTTCCAACTCCCCAACCACCATTACCTTTAGCAGAATTACAATTAAGATTAGAATATATCAAAATTAAAATATTACATAAATTGGGTCTTAATAGAGCTCCAGCAATTAGGACAACAATGGACCATGAAGCATGTAAGTTGACAATCTTTGAATGTGACATTGTGGGATCAAGGGATTAATTAGAGAGAGAAAAAAAATAAGCCGGTTTTGGATTATCTTATTAGATACTTTTCTTTATCCAGAGGATAATCAACTTCTCTATCGTTCTGAATTCAATCAGTAATCATTGAGAAAGTTTCCAATACATATACATGCATAGACTTCCAAATATATATAATCCAAAATCGGCAAGTTCTCATTACAAATCTAATTTAGTTCGGGCGTCACTTTACAATAAGAAATTAATTTCTCGATTAAATTGATCAAAATTAATAGATACACAATTACTGGAGCTTCGACAATTACATTCAGATCCTAATAAAAACCAAGCAACTCGAACCAATCATTATGAAATGGATCAAATGAATGCTGATGATGAAAGTGATAAATTATTTCTTTTACCAATCAAAAGTGGCTTTTCAAGTGCTACTTTCAATATGACTCTTGATATTGATATAACACGTTATCCTTTCCGTAAAGTGACCTTATTCACAAGATGTCAAATAATCTTGCTTCATATGACAATGAAATAAGTTTATTATTAGTTAAAGGAGCAAGTTCACCACCACCATCATCACCATCACCACCATCATCATCATCAACACCATCAACATCTTCATCTACCTCATCGTCAGCATCCTCATCACCTTTAAACAATTCAAGTTATGAGACTTATTTTGAGCAAATCAAACCAATTAACAATGGAGTCTCAAACCCATTGAAGTACACAGATAATACTCTTAATGATGAATATGAATGGCGGGAATATGACATAACTAAATTAATTACTAAAAACAAATGGAATCCATTGAAAGGACAGCCCATGATTGTCATTGATACTGAACCATGCAAATTACATTCAGCATTAATGACAATTGAATTTAATTACATTTCGGTAAGTAGCAGATACTAAACCAATCAATTTATAATGATGATGAGAAACATTGACAAAACATGTTCATTTTCAAAGTAATTAACTACACAATTAACATGATTGTTGATATAAGATAATCAGTGAGCACTTGATTATAATTTTATCAGAATAAATTAAGTGTTAATCATAAACAACAAGAAGATAATCAACAACAAAAAAGAAAGAAAACTAATTGTTATAATCAGATAAGATTTTTAAACTTCACCTGATACAAATTGTAATTTTCATTTCTAACAGTTAATTAATTTCAATCAGAGCTAAATTGATTGATTAGATAATGATGATGATGATATAAAAGATTATGTTGGGTGAAAATCAAGGATAAATTTCCGATGGGAAAATTGAACTTGAAATAACAATCAGAATGATGATCAAGTTTAATTTTTATGATTAACAAACAATTTAACAACTTGTTGGTAATTTAATTGTCGTGTTAATTATATAAGTAGCAATTTGCGTCAAACAACAACAAAAAAGGAGCAAAAGGTTTTCTAAGTTAACATTAAATTGTTCCGTTAATTGTTTAACATAATTCAGTTCACGTTAATTTTAATCTTCTTGTTTCTCAATCAGATGAAAATTGCTGATTCTGTAATAGTGACATGAAGAAAAAAAAACTTAATAGTTAATAATCACATGAGATTGTGGATTGTGAAGGCATTTCAATGCATAGGAAAAGGATAGTTAGCTAATCAAGAATTGTATTCACTTTCAATCATCATTCACTGATTAAAATTGATTCAGAGATTCAGAATTTACTATATTGACATAAAATAGGGAGAGAGAAAAGTAAATTGGTTAATAAGAAAATTGTTATCAACTGATTGTAATCGAATCAGAGAAAAGAAAAACCTTCAAATATAATTGTTAAGGGGAAAATTAGAGGAATGAATGATTTAAATATCATTGGTTACAATTGGATTATCGATGAAATAATTGATTACAATTTGGTGACATTTGGATAATTGAATCAAGGTAAAAGACGAGAAAGTAGTTAAAGTTTAACTGTAATTGAAAATTATGATAAAGATCATGAATGGAAAGTTGAACAATTAACTAAATAAAAGTATTCAATCAATTGTTAATTGTAAATTGGTGTACATATCAAAAGAGTATAAGTTGAAATGGTTGATATAATATAATGACAGTGTTGATTGTTGATAATATTTTATCATCAACAATCAAGTTAATCAGTTGTTTCACCTCATCTTTATGAGGAGGATGCTGGAAACACTATAATCAGCTAAATGAGCAACATGGTAAAAAAAGTTCAAAAGATTGATTATCATGATAATGATGGTAATTGTGATTATCTTCAAGGTGAATATAATGAATTTATTATCATGGAACAATAACTTTTTTTTCATTCTCAGGTAGATTAACAATAACAAAAATGAGAAAAATTGTATCATGTAAATATGTAGATGAGAGACTCAAATGGTGATCATATAACAACAACAATTAACTAACTGGTTAATTGTTGTTCATTGCTAATGGTAAAATAGTAAAATCATCATGTATCATCAGAAAGATTACAATTTGATTAGCTAATTTGAAGGATAAATCAAATTGTAGTCAAATATCAGAACAATTCATCCTGTGAGAATGAGTAATTAATGTTGATGTTATTTTCTGTTTGATTGTTTGTTTTGATATTATTTTTTTTTCTGCTTAAACTTTTCTTGATGGAAAGAGTTGAAAGTATTTATAAATAATCAATTAATTGTTTACCTAATTACTTTGATTTCTGTTTTAAAATGTATTACACAGGCTACCAGAAGAAGACGAAAGGTTGATTGTAGTTCAATTAAAAACACATCATCATGCTGTCGAGAAAGTTTCTATGTTAATTTTACTCAAATTGGTTGGGATAATTGGATTGTTCAACCTCCAGGTTACTATGCTAATTATTGCAAAGGTAAAGTAGCTTGTAAATGATTGACCATTCAATTAATTTAATCGAACACAATAAACAAACTATTTGTTTATATAAAATTATCTGGTTATTGGCATTTGATAATCTTTTTTCTATCTATTTTCCTCCCTCTCTCTCTCTCTCTCCTTTCCTCCGAATGTAAACTCAATTCATATATATGAATGAACTTATATCTTCTAGGAAAATGTGATATATCACATGCTCGTTATCACCATACGACTGTTGTACAAAAATACTCGACAATAATCAACTTATGCTGCTCTCCACGAGAAATGTCCAACATATCTTTAATCTATGTTAATGAAGGTGGTTACCTATTTCAGAAAAATTTGGCTAATATGGTTGTTGAATCCTGTGATTGTGCTTAATAGGATGGTGATAATTATATTATGTAATCATGATTAGTAAATTATATAAATTGAAACTTTGTTTTTTTGATACAATTTGGAAAATGCGAATAATTTAAAACTTACCAATTTTTCAAGAAGTAGAGTCGGATGTTCACATTTATCGCAATTAGGGATACGTGGACTGGGACATTTATCACCAATCGAATTTGCTTTATGTCTCGGGGCTAAAGGTTGTCTAGTTTGTAATGGAATATTAGCTCGAGGACCACCCGAGACAGATAAAGAAGGTGAATTGTCATCGACTAAATCGTCTTTAGATATCACTGTTGAAAGAAGAAAAAATAAGAATTAGAAAAACGAATGTTAATATTATGTGAAATTAGCATTTTCTTTACTTACATGATGATGTTTGTGTTGTATGAATTAGAGACAAATGATTGATCTCTGGAAGATTGAATTTCTCTGTTTTAATAAATCGATTGATATAATTTTCATCTGAAACTTTTTCCTCCAATTCACTGGACAACAATTTCTCTTGTTTAACTTCAACCGGAATCTCATTAGTCTCTAATTTACTAATTGGCTCCACTTTGGGTACAATCTCTTCATCGGAACTTGTATCTTCAATCCTTATTCTACCTCTTACACAGCCAAGTTTAAGTATTATCGAAGATGAACCTTTCTTTTTGTTAGCACTTTTCTTAGAACCAGCTGATCGTTGATTAGATCCATTGTTTTTATCATTATCTTTGACACCAGAAGAACAAGATGAACTTGTAGTCTTATTTTTACTTCTTCCTCGGAGACTTTTTTTACTTTTCACTTCCTGGTCACTCATCTTACGTAGATGAATAAAACGATCAATAAACTAAACAATGATAACGAAAAATAAACAAAATTATTCATCAAATAATTAAAACAAATACAAATGAATGGACTATTTTGATTGAGAGAAAATTAGAAAAATTTTATTGTCTACAATTCTCAAGCTGTCATGTGACTCAAGAGCTACAAATCAAAAGAATCCCGACCAATCAGAGAGCAGAATCGGCGTCGCTCAGAGCGTAGCAACAGTTGTCATGGCGACCAGAGTTTCTCTTGTTATTGTTTAGGTTTCATCTTTGTTTTCACTTATCGTTTCGTCTTTTGACCTTCGATTTGTTGAACTGTTTCCTGATGGAACTGCGGTCATGTTTTGATACCAACATTTCTGCAACACCAACATGCAAGTTTTGCTTTTATCGGTTAAAAGAGAACAGTTTTTCTCTTGGTTATTTCAATGTGTTAAATAATTTGTGAATCACAAGTTGTGATTGCATTTTTTTTTCTTTTTGTTTTAGACTGGAATTTTATATTTTATGAGTGAATATTTTCACTGAAATTGTAACAAAACGTGATATTGTATTTCTTTGGGAACGGAATTGGTTCATCTTCGTCTGACTTTGATCCAATTATTGGTCAGTGTTATTTTATTATGACATCATATCTTAAATCATTGTAATCAGGAATATTTGGTCAACACTGTTCATATTGTCTCGACGGTTATTATCGATTCTCAGTTCGAGATTGTCTTCCGATAGGATGAGAAGGAAAACGTTGTGATGAAATACAGTGGTCAATGTAAGTAAATTAAGAAGAGAGAGAGAGAGAAATGGTGATTTAATATTTTCTCTTCTCTTGATTCTCCAAAGGTAAATGTAAACCGTTCGTTTCAACCAATCATCAACCTTATTATTGGCAATTACCAAAAGAGTTTATTGGAGATAAAGTTAATTCTTACAATGGTTTTCTCTCATTTCGAATTCCCTGATTCAGTTCACAATCGTTATCCTTTGTTCATCATGATGCTGAAAATCTTCTCGATTAAATAAATGATTGATGCGCTTCGATAATTTTGAATGGATGATGCAAAAGGAGGATTCTCTTTGGAACGAGATAATTTCTGAGCTGAACAAATTATCGCCGAATTGAATTTGAAAAACTATCGACCTCGAATTGATGAAGCCTCGAGAGAATCGATTATCAGAGACTTTACTTGAGAAGATAATTAGTCTTCTCTGATCACCGAATGATGATCGAGATTTTCGCAGAAGATTGGATCGATTGCAACAAAGATTAGCAGAGATTTTCAACATTGTTCAAACTCGAGTACAAAGACCAGTCGAGTTAACATTGAATCGAATCAATTAAGGACAACGAATTCGTGATCGGGTGATTGAAGTTCTAAGAATCAGTTCTGATCATGCATCTCAAGCCGATTCTAGTGATTACATGAAGCTGCTCAACTAATTAATGCTGCTGGTGTTGGTCGCTGTGACTGTACGACATGGACTAGTTCCTGATTTTCACTGAAATTGTAACAAAACGTGATATTGTATTTCTTTGAGAATGTTAACGGAATGGAAGCCTTGCTATTGGAAGTGATTGAGAAACGTTCCCTTGGATCCACGAGTTTTTCTGGTAGACACCGAGTCCAGTTGATTGACTGACTAAAGGAAAAGTAAATTTTGAGTGGCTTGTAGTTGACTATGAAAAATAATTGATCTGAGTTGACAAATTTCTAGTGAGGGTCAACATGGATTCATGAAGACATGAGCTAACTAAAGGCTCCAAGTCTCATAAACTCCAATTTCATTTCATCTAAGTCCAATCAGCTGATAACCCTTAAAACATTGAATCTTTGAGGACTAACGGTTAATTTTAATCGACAGCGATGATTTTCGTGTTTACAGGGTTCAAGTAAAGATCAATGTATCAAAGTGACTTCAAATCTATAGAATCAACTGCTTTTGGTTCTTACATAAGTCAATCCTGGAAATTCACGGATATGTTATGTGGGTTTAATGTTTCTACATTTCGATCAATTATTCGTGTTTCTCTTTGAATAAAAAACAATATTTATCATTATACTTCTCTATTCGAATACAGTCGTTCGATGTTTCTTCGATTTATAGCTGCTTGTATCATGTAACTAAAAGAGGTTTTCTCTTATCTCATGAGTTCGACTTCTGTTCATTTTTTTGTAGCTTCGTGCTCTTTTTGCTATTCATCCATTTCTTGATTAATTCTGATAAAGTAAATTGTTTGTTTACGTTTGGTGCAATAACACGGGTTTCAATCAATTCGCGTTCTTCAAATGAGGTGAATTCATTTTGATTATCTCAGCAGAATTTTGGCATTTGAAGTGTTTGACTTATTCGAGTCAAGACATTTTCCTCTATTATGTAAACATTTTTCCATCATTGATTCATCTTGATACCATTTCCGATTGTTGAAAGTGATTTGTAGACTTATATTTGTGTTCTTAGTCCGCTCGAGAGGCTCAATTTGTATCATTTCACTTTCGCCAACCTTTAAATTGTCTAAACTTTAGACTCGAGATTTGCCAGGATTGATTTTCCTCTCGAGTTAATTGTTCGCTTTTTCATGTATTACTAGAGGTTATTTCCTTTGCTCTAGGAATTCTTGACTGATGTAATTGTTTGATGTTTATTTTCAATGGTAAGAATTCCCAATGGACAAATTTCAAGCAGAGATTTCCAATCATCCTGTTTTCATCTTAATATATTTGTTTACATCGTGAATCCGACTTTTGACCTGAGATCAGCTAACAGGTTCAGACACCCAACGGATACAAAACAATACAAACACTGAATCATGTTAGGGACTAAGAAGTCAAACTAATCATCTTTCACCAAATGGATAAAAATAGTAAACAATAAGTTGAATCATCTCGTTAGTGAATTCAATGAATTTAATGAACACTGAAATTCAGAGACTGAATAAGTGACTAAGACTTCAGCTTGTGCGCAGTCGATCAACTGTCGACTGACTGACCGAATCGACTGGCTTCAGCTTCTATTCATTTCTCTCAACCTTTCATTTGTATTTGTTTAATTGATGAATAATTTTGTTTATTTTTCGTTATCATTGTTTAGTTTATTGATTGTTTTATTCATCTACGTAAGATGAGTGACCAGGAAGTGAAAGGTAAAAAAAGTATCCGAGGAAGAGGTAAAAATAAAACTACAAATTCATCTTCTGGTGTCAAAGATAATGATAAAAACAATGGATCTAATCAACAATCAGCTGGTTCTAAGAAAAGTGCTAACAAAAAGAAAGGTTCATCTTCCAAAGGACTTAAACTTGGCCGAGGTAGAGGCAGAATAAGGATTGAAGATACAAGTTCCGATGAAGAGATTGTACCCAAAGTGGAGCCAATTAGTAAATTAGAGACTAATGAGATTCCGGTTGAAGTTAAACAAGAGAAATTGTTGTCCAGTGAATTGGAGGAAAAAGTTTCAGATGAAAATTATATCAATCGATTTATTAAAACAGAGAAATTCAATCTTCCAGAGATCAACCATTTGTCTCTAATTCATACAACACAAACATCATCATGTAAGTAAAGAAAATGCTAATTTCACATAATATTAACATTCGTTTTTCTAATTCTTTTCCACTTCTTCTTTCAACAGTGATATTTAAAGACGATTTAGTAGATGACATTGCACCTTCTCTATCTTTCGGTGGTCCTCGAGCTAATATTCCGTTACACAAAAATAAACCTTTAGCCTGGAATCATAAAGTAAATCTGATTGGTGATAAATGTCCGAGTCCAAGAATCCACATTTGCGAGAAATGTGAACGTCCGATTCTACTTTATGGTAGACTGGTAAGTTTCATGATTCTCCAAAGATTATAACCAATACATAAAGTTTCAATTTACACTTACAGTTTACTAATCATGATGAATGTTCTCATATTTCCATAGATTCCTTGTAAACATGTTTTCTGTTATGATTGTGCCAAAGCTAATCCAGTTTGTCTTCGGTGTACAGACAAAGTTGCTCGAGTCGAAAAAAATAAATTAGGAGCTGTTTTCATGTGTTCTTATGATAATTGTCGTCGTACTTATCTTAGTCATCGAGATCTGCAAGCTCATGTTTCCCATAGACATTTAAGACGTTCATCTAATCAACCATCAACCAAGCAATCACCACAAGTTTCATCTACTCCAAGTAATTCATTAAATGCAGTTTCCTCACCATCTACATCAATTGGCTCATCTACATTGAAAGGTCATTCATTTACATCTCGAAATAAAATCAATCCTCTTAGTGGAATGAATTTCACTCATATTTCATCTCGTGCAACCAATTCATCCATTCCCATGTCCTTTGAAGATTCAACAACCATTGGAAACAATGATAAGAAAAATTATTCATCTTACCTTCATCATCATCAAACCAATAGTAAAATCAAATTACCAAATAATAAAAATCTCGTTATTAGTGGTAAATCTCCTAATTTAACTTCTCAATCATTGGCTAATCTGCATCGTAATTGGTCAACATCAGGTCAACCCACTTCGACTGTTTCATCTGCATCTTCATCATCTTTCACTTCACCAACTTTACCCTCATCACTTACAACTAGCTCATGGAATCTTCCCTTATTATCTGATCCCCGTCAAAGTTCAACAATTAATCGTCATTTCTATCAATAAATTGGTTAATAACAATCAACTACTCCAATCAATTATCACAACAAAAGCCATTGTATTACTTTTTAGAAAGCATGATTATTAAATTGACAATTCGACTTTGTAATCAATTAAACTTAGCTTGGTCATCAATCAAGTTAAGTTGAGAATACTTAAAATAATAATAATAAACATAATTTGATTATTTCATTATTAAAATCAAATAATTAGTTTTACCGCGAAATTTAATGATCATGATCAATGTTGGAAATGATTTGAACGATTGAATAATTGAAACAAGGAAATTTAATTTCTAATCTTAGGGTATAATATATTACAAAATAATTAGAAAAATAAATCAGTGACTTGAATTTTGATGATTAGGATCTTGTTTACTATCCAAGGAAAATGGCGGAATCCTACAGTCGAATGAGTAACCATCTTCTCTTTCCATTCTGAAGTTTCCCCTGAAAAAGAAAATGATGAAAATTTTGAGATGGCAAAGTTAACAATTAGAAAAGCAAAACTACTTACCACATATGACCATTGGCCGATTGAAGACTAACATGACTACTGTATTGAAATGCAGGTTGTGATTTGGATAAAATTGGTTCTTGACCGACGACACCTCGACCTCGAACTGTTTCCAATGTCCCGGAGAGACTGAAAATCCTCCAATGTCTTTCTCTTAGTTGTACCGAAAGATCACTCAAATTTTCAAGTCGAATACAATATCTCCACTATGTAAGAGAATGTGAGAAAGTTATTAAATATTTTTGAGATCATTTGACAAGAGTAAAGTTATAATACTCACCCAATAAACTGTACCCTGAGGGGATACTCGACATCCCATGTAAAAAGGTATAGCGGTCACTCTAACGTTTTCAGTTGTCTCTTTATGAACATCCGATAACTCTAACCATGGATGATTTTTTTCTTGCCAAGCTTTAAGTGTATCTTTGGGTATGAATGGTGGATCTCTATCATGATCACGAGCTAAGAATTTCTCAAATAATTCATGGTGAATTGGTTGACGATCGGTGCTAGTGTAAGGTAAAATATCTTCATGGGCAACATAATCTAAGCCTGGGATAGCATATAAAGAACGAGAATTCTCTTGATTACCAAGAAATGTAACTGCTTCTGTTTGTGCTCTCTATTAAATGGTGAGAAAAGTGGAAAATTAAACAATAAGTGAACATAACAGTCTCAGTAGAATTGAATCACTGACCACAAAAGGACAATCCCTGGAGTCGATTAAAACTTGATAATAAATGTGAGTGTGACCTTTGACTTCCTTTCCAACATGATTATATCCTGCACTAGAATCATCAATAGTACTGAAAGAGAATAGAAAAATAAAATTAGAACAAAATTTGTTACACTGAACGAAGAATCAAAATCTATTCAAAATAACGATAGTTTCGAGTGATAATCGAATAGAATAAAACAAATCAACCATTCTATGCGAGAATACTGACTTTTCTTCCCTTCGATTTGGAACATCTCTGTCGTAAACCTTTGCTATCCACGGAAATAAAGTGACCCCACGGTAACCAAAAACTCGATGTAAAAACAATTGACCAGTTTCATATTTTCCATCAAGTTTCGGGGTCTCCAATTTTCCAACCTCAGCTAACCTGTAAGAACAGAATTAAATTACATGAAATTGTTAACACATTAGAAGAGAAAACAAAATGATTCAATAAATCAGAGTGTATGATTACTAAAGATAATTGGAAGACAAAAAAAATATGAGACAATAAAAACACTCAGAGGAGAAAAAGTAACTCACCTGACAAGGTTATAATTAGCTGAATATTGTCTCACATTGAATATAATCGTTTGACCATTTGTAGGCAATTTACGAATCAAAAATGCGCTCAATTTAGTACCAAACATGTCAAACAATCAATTAAAGAAAAAAAGATCAATTGACAAAAAAAAAGGTAAACAAGAAAAACGATCAACAAAAACCAGAGAAAAAAAAATCAAATTGTTCAGAGAATCGAATCTAAACTTTAGATCCAATACTTAGACTACCGAGTCCTCGTTCGTTTACATGGGAAAAGAGCAAAAAACTACTGGACTCATTCAAGGATCAAAATACTGAATTTGAGTCGATAACAAAATCAGCTGATGATTAGAACGTTTGTTTGGTCAAAGGTTATTTTCTATTCCAAAAGAGGGCGCAAGAGTTACCTTAATTTTCTCAATTCAATTAATTGTTTCAAATTGATTTAATTGTTGACTAGATGTTCATCATTAAGAATTAACTCCGATTAATATTACTACCTAATTTACTTCCTGTATTCCCCAATTCATTCAATCACCATTGACATCGAGTCAATCAAAATATTGTTTTGGTTCATTGATCAACAATTAATTTGTTTTGAATACCAACTAATTATAAAAAAACAACAATGTAACAATTTACTAATCATCATTACATTCAATTGTATCAAGTGATTCATTTCTCTCTTTCCGGTTGTAACAATCCGTTATTGTTTGAGATGTTCCAACAATTCCTTTCAATTGTTTTTTCTTTTAATTAATTTCTCCTTAGGCCTTAGTATCTCAAGGTAAGAACTATAATGAAAATTTCAATTAACTAATTTGAATTTGAAACAATTTAGAATAATCTTTTCATCTATTCTTTTTCTTTTCCGTGTGTGTTTTTCTCTCTTTCTTAAAATTCAGAAGATCAAAATGGTGGAATCGGAAGATATTGAATCTCTTCACCAACTACAAACAAAGAATCACAAGGAACCTTTCTCATTAGAATTGTATTAATTGTATTAATATATCAACTACACAAATCTATTGTTTCTTAGTACATTAGGATGAGAAAGACAAACCATTGGAAGTTGATCTGTAAACAATTGATCCAGTCGATGGAGATGATCCTCTCTTTTTGGTTATATGTTTATCCCTTGGATAGGATTAAAAGCCCAAACGATTAACGAGACAATGTATTGGTTACATAGAGATGAGACTTGAGAAGTTTTAATTTCATCTCTCTTTCTTTGGATAAAATTATATTCCATTGAATTTATCATCATCATCTTCTTGTCTCAAGTGGTTCTATTGAATATGTATGCATAAATATCAACACTCCATTGGAACATTGATCAACAGTAACACCAAACCTGAGGTGATTCGTGATTAAACTATTGTGTTTATTAAAGGAAAGAAAGGAACAAGAAAAAAAAAGAAAAGAAAAGTGTTGAAAAAAAGAGAAGAAGAAAAGAAAACTGAAAAAGAGAATAGAAAAAAAAAATTTCTATAATCCTCATTGGGATTTCCTCTTTTCGTTTGATTATGGATGAGGTGAATTAATGATAGTCAATATGTGAAGAATTGTAAGTATTATAATAAGCCCACAATTCGTATTATTAACTCTAATTAACGAATATTTTTCTCTTTGTTTTTCCACCTTATTCAAGGTTTATCATCATTACCACTTCCATGATTATTATTATACAACTAAAACCCTCCAGGCTGTTATTAATTTGCTTAGTTTTGACTTTGGAAAATCATCTTTCATCAAATCATAATGATTACCATCCAGAAATCAACCGATGTAACTAATCAAATTGAGAAGGTGTTTAATCAGATTCAATCAAATGATCACTTTTTTTTATTTATAACCATTGGAAGTTTGATTTACTTTTTCTTCCCAGTTCCATTTTCACCAATCCCTCATGGATCACAATTAATTCCGATGTCATGGTGATTATGATCAACATCAATATCCCCATTGAGTTTCCATCTATTTTCAAGAGCCACTTATTTCCGTTAAATGAGATAACATAAACATTGAAACAGGAAAAGGAAAAGGAATCTACTATTTACCCAAATCTTTGAAACAAAACTTTGAATTACAACGAGATGAAATTAAGTTCACAAATTGCCAAAAGGTGAATTAAATTTATTCTGATATTTATTACAATCAGAATGGAAAAAAAATAAGGTGAATCCAAACTAATAACTGTCTCTAGATGTATGACTTTCATTAGCAATCTAATTGCCACTAAAGTGTTACAATTTATTTGACAGTTAGAATCATATCATTTTTTTTTCATTTTCCTAACCATTATTGTGATTCAGTTCTGTTCTTATCTATTTATTCAAGGTTATCATGAAACGTTCATCCCTGAAATTTTGTGGACAAAAAATGGCAATAATGATAAAGAGATTGGATCAAGTTTGATATTAGCCAGTTGGAAGTAGCCAATATAATCTGATGGTAATAATTTAAACTCACTGATTCTTATGGATAACAATAAAGTTTACTCATTGATCAGTGGTAACAATAATTGTCATCTTAATGGTGACTTTACATTTATCATAATTTAGTTTGAATCTTTTCATGATAACTGGAAACCAGGAAACAAAACAAAATGGACCATCAATTGCAGATCATAAGTTGTCACCCTTAAGAAGGAAAAGTTAAAAAGGAAACTCAAATATGATTGTTTAAAAGTTTCGATTGAATTGAAAAGTTGGATAAAAGAGAAAAGATCAACAAGGAGAATTAAGATGATAGCGAACTCGCTGAACCTCAAACGAATCGATGAAACTATTGATGACTTCTTTTTTTCTCCTCTAAAAGTGATGAGAATCATAAAGGAAGACAGGATATTGTCTATCTCTCTTTACGATGTTATCATCATCTTTTGTCATCATTATCATCTTTGTATTGTCTGTATAACTTGTGGGAAGACTTTGCTGATATGATGGACGGAAAAGGAAACATGTTTGTCAATTTTTCTTTTCACTTTCCATCATCGACATGGTAAATTTGTGGTGTTATCGTGGTAACAATAAGGATCATAAGAACATTCAATTCTTTAAGAACCCGAACTATGAATGTTTCCCGCCAATAGAGATTCAACTCTTTATTGCGCTCGAATCAGACCTGATATGCAAATGATTTGAAAGCAAAGGTAATTGATGGCAAACAATATGAAGAAACGAGATGATCTCAAATGATTAAGATGATAGTTTGTGATGCTTTTTCTAAATGTGATAAAAATAGTTATAAATCTGTCCAGAATTGATACTTCGCTAGAGGAATAAAAAAACCGTTTACAGGGAAAACATTGAGAAAAAAAGATGATGAAGATGAAGATAAGGATGATGGTGATAATGTAGAAGATGATAGGAAAAGTGGAAGATGAAATGATGAGGAAAGATGAGATGAATATCAAGATAGAGAGAGAAAGAAGTTCTTTTTACATGGAAACTTTATTGCCCATGTCTCTTCATATGCTCTCTTTATCTTCCATTCTCTCTCTCTCTCTCTCTCTCTCTCTCTCTCTCTCTCTCTCTCTTCATCATCCAAAGTTCTTTTTCGAAAAAAACTTTTTATAATGTTCATTCGAGAATCAGAGGAATCATAAAATTCAGTTTTCTCTTTTATTTTCCTCTTAGATGTAATTCTTAAAATCAGTTGATCCTCATGAAATGAAGTTAATACCTTTTGATGTTGATCTTAAATTTTTCTTTCTCTTCATTATCTCATCATCATCATCATCATCCAGTCTAGTTAACCTTCAATTATCATGAGTTTATCTGTTTCCGTTTCCCTTTTATACTGACACTTTAATGTGATGATTATATTTTAAGATTAATCATCTTTCATTCATTTAGTTGTATGAAAAAAATCATCAGTTAATTTGTTCATAACTCATCAATTAGTTTACGTTATTTGTATTGTTAATTATGATTGTTTACTAATTGTTAACTACAATTTGATCAGCACTCGATAATCACTCAAAGTTACAACCAGATCTCAGCATTAATTTTAACTAATCATAAGTTTTGTGATCAACTTTTCTTGTTAATCATTGTAATTAAAACAACAACTTGTTGCCAGCCAATTTGTTATATTATCAACAATTAAGTGACAATGTTGGATATTAGTGAACCTTTTAAACTTTGGTCTAAACGTAATTTGATTCATTGGAATCAAATTACTTTTAATTTGATTGTCACGTTGACATTTTGTATATATTTCATCTCACAATGTGATTGTAAACATCATTTAATCACTAACAGTAAGTAATCAATTTGCTTCTTAATTAAACATCAATTAAAAGTAATCAAGTTGACACGAAAATTATATTGATCATAAGCTCATATTTTTTGATTACCAGCAATCAAATGGTCAAGATTGAAGAGTTAATCATCTTTATGTAAGACCATTGAGCAACAATTAACATGGGAATCAAATTTAATAACAAAAATTGATTAATCAAAGTGATGATCGGCAAATTGTTAATCATTTTTAATTTGATGTACAGATTTTTGGTTTGACAATTACTTTTTTCAATTTGTAAACATGATCAATATTTAACAACAATTAACAATAGGAAATGATTTTAATTAACTGAGTGTAAATTTATTAATTGTTTTCAAAATTGCAATTTTATAAATTGTGTCAATATTGGAATTGATTAAATTGTGTTATTACATTATATTGTTTACACTGATTTAAATTGTTGACAGTTAATTTGGTATTTTTCAAACAAATCAATTAGATTCATGAATTTGTTGATTTGTCAATTTAATAACTTGTTGCATTACTTTGATTATGTTAATTGTTGTTAATAACATTGATTGTTAGCCTTGAAGTGATCATTATAAATTGTCCCATTCAATTTATCTCATTCATTGTCATGATGTTAATCAATTATCTGAGTTGTTAGTTGATTGTAATCAAAACCAATTTCATTATCTAAGGTGTTAATTCATGTATAATAATGATCATTACAATTTGTTTATGAATGAAACATTGATCACAATTAAGGAAGACAATTACTTAAATGGTGGCCAATCAATTGATTGTCTTGTTTTTACAATCAACTATTACAATTGGAATCAATAAATTGTAAGTTTACCAATAGAATCGGGGTTAATTATTGGTATCAGTTAAATTGTCAGAATTTAAATTTTCTAATCAGTGGTAGTAATGTCATCAGATGAAGAAATTAAACTCACAATTGGAAGCTGATTAATGTTGATTGCTATTAGTTAATTGGATAAAAATTGGAAAAAAAATCAACACATCAAATTCATTTATCATGTAGATTTACAATCACACAACAATCAAGAAATTAAATTGTAGTGAAAAAAAGGTGAATCAATTGTTTCCGTCATTGTTTTTGCTTTACAATTCAACTAAATTTCAATACATGATAATAACTCCGAGTGAACATTTAAATTGCTCGGTGAATACTCAATTGAAATAACATGTATGTAATAGTTAACATACAAGAGAAAAAAACTGAATCAAATCAAATCAGAAAAAAAGAGTTGATTTGAATGAACATGAAGTCTGATCAAGATAACGATGAAATTGAATGAATTGAATCCAACTAATCAAGAGGAATCAAAATAAAACAAGCCAACAATTGAAAGTTAATATTGAATTACTAAATTGTGCATCCAAGTAAATATTAATGGTATTAATAATACACGATAACAATCAGGGAGAAATGAAGAAATCAAATTGTAAACACAAAGAAAAAGTTCAAACATCAGCGAAAATAATAATTTTTTGTTCTAATTTTCGATCTATTTGATATCGAGAAGAGAAATCGAACTCTTTAAGCTTATAATATTCTTGGAGAATAGAAAAAAAAAAGTTCTTTTGGCATTTTTTTCCCTTCTTCTTCACCAGATTAACGATTTTAATGAGAGATGAAAGTACAACAATTCGTAACAATCGTGATGATGATAACTAAAAGTAGCTTGAAGCATCCTCATCACTAACTATCGTTGTCTCTTACTTATCATATTCATCTTCATCAGCTTATAACTCTTTGATTGTCATCACATGAACAATTTAGAAAAGTTCACCTTGAAGATGCTGATGATGATGTTGATGAAGATGATGATGATGATGATAATACTGCTGATGCCTAAGCTGCGTGTCATATTAAGTCTAGAAGGATGATAATGATGATGATGGTAAAGTTTTATATGGCAAAGGTGTTGATGCTATTTTAACTTGGCAAATATATTATTATTACATAAACAGAGAAGTGACTGGGAGTGATAATAATACTTGACAGTGTAAAGCTTAAAGGTAAATACGATATGTGCTCCCTTTGTTATCATCATCATTATCATTGTTGTCATATAATGAAAATCACGTGATGACTTGAATTCTGTTATTGGGATTGATGAGAGAGAGAGAGGATTCCAGGATTATTTTGGGATTATCATCACCAACTGGACGTGTCCATGTTGAATGAAACAAAAAAAATACCGACCATGAACAGAAGTCATAACGAATCCACCATAATAATAATAATAACAGTTTCAATATCATTTGATAATAATGATGACGAAAGACACATGGTTATCTCATCTTCTCACCATAATAATCCTTTGTTTTCCTCCTTGTCCAGTTTGACCATCAACGAGAAAAAAACTTGACCAGAACATGAACATGAGTAAAACCACCATGTCTTTTTTTTGTATCATGAAAATCAGAGATTACCTTAAATCAGATACAAGATCAAGAAGAAGATGTTTGTTTTACCTTTATTTTTAAATCTAATCAAGTTTCGGATAATAATTTAATCAACCGTTTCAGATGATAACAAGATTAACTTACCTGGTAAATCTTAGCATTTATCCCCCATTGACCATTATTTAAATGTACAATTGGTCACAGAAAAAAAAACTCTTACTCTTGACCAATGGAAAAGCTCAAACTTAACCAACAATTAATTTAATTACACACTTTTGATTATTTTATCTTCTAGATTGCTGATCAGAATAGTTGAAAAAGTGAGATTTATTATATCATGAAAATGGTTCTTATCATCATGATGATAATCTTAACTTCTTGAATCCATTGAAAACCTGAATGATATAAATTGGTCATTTGATTTCATCGGCCTGTATTTTTATTACCATTATCATTAATATCATCATCATGGTCATCATCATCCTATTAATATTATTATTATATTACTTTTGAAAGTTTTGTGTTGGTCAAAAAACTTTGATGGTCAATGAATGGACCTTAGTTTTTTTATTATTATTACAGTCCATTCACTTAGTTTAGGAATCGTCTTCTTTTGGGTCTAATTCTCTTGAGGTTGAGATAAATTTATGAAATTTTATATTTCAGTAACATAGCCTATGCATATGTCGAATATTAAATTCTCAGCACTAAAGGCCATTTAATTATTAAATTTCAGTTTATTTTATTGAAATGATATTCAATTAGTTTAGGAATTTGGCCTGAATCGAGAATTCTTCGCTGAATTGATCTGATCTGTTTCTTATAATTCAATTAGTTTATTGTAATATTCAGGCCAAAATTCAGATCAATTGGTCGAATAATTAACGAAATAATTAGAAAATTAAATTAACATTGATTTGTATGAATTTAACTTTCAGTTCGTTTTGTCCATAAAAAGCCATTTATCGACATTTTCTCTGAAATTTTTTCTAGGTCAATTAATAGTCGAAATAAGTAGCAATTAGTTTTCAATCGTCAAAACACTAGAAAACTTTTATCTAATTTTAAACAAAATAGACGAAATTTTTGGAAATTCAATGTCTCGATGTGAAAATATGAGATGTTCAAAACTAAATAAAGTTTTTCTAGTGTTTTGACGATTGAAACTAATTATTCTGGACTATTAATTGACCTTAGAAAAAATTCGAGATAAATGGCTTTATGGACAAATCGAACTCGAAAGTTAAATTCCCATACAAATCAATGTTAATTTATTTTCTAATTATTCGTTAATTATTCGACCAATTGATCTGTTTTGGCCTGAATATTACAATAAACTAATTGAATATGAAAACAGATCAGATCAATCAGCGAAGAACCTCGATTCAGGCAAATTCTAAACTAATTGAATATCATTCAATAAAATAAACTTCGAAATTTAATTAAATGACGCTTTAGTGCTGAGAATTAATATTCGACATATGCATAGGCCATGTTACTGAAATAAAAATATAAAATTTCATAAATTTATCTCAACTCTCAAGAATTAGAACGAACGATTCTAAACTAAGTGAATGGACTATTGTTAAATAACAACACTAATAATAAGATGAAGGATATAAAATGTTTATCCTAATCATCATCATCATCATTATTATTATTATTATTTGAAGGTAAGGATAATAATCATGATCAGATTAAATTAGATTCTGTGAAAATAAATGTTCACTGGTTAATGATATCTAATAATAAACATCAACTCTTAATCAAATTGTATTTTCATTGTGAACAAAAATTTCAATTTAATTTACTTGCAAATCCAATTGCTACTAATCAACTGATCCTCAATTGTTCAATACCACAATTTACATTAATGACTGAAACAAAAATCCAATTGCAAGGATTGATTAGTTTAATTAAACTTTTTCTTTAATAATTAAAGTTGTATGATTAACTTTTGTTTTCTTTCATTTCAAGTTATTGAGTTTCCATTTTAGGCTTGATTGTTACACTAATTGTTATAATTTAAAAGGATAATTGTGCTATTTTAATAGTCCACAAATTGTTGTCATTGTTGATTTAAATGATAATCATTTAGGTACAAAGTTTATTTTTCATCCTATTTGATTGTTGATCAATTTTATAGTAATCAACTTGATCAATATTAGTATATTTATATGATAGGGAAAAAGTGAATTTTTGATTGATTAATTGATTTTATGCTAGAAAAAAAAACAATCAACGACAATTGAGAAAATAGTAACAATTAAAGGAATGAAAAATTATCAATGATAAAATTTACTCTGAACGCCCAAAGTTTAGTGTTACCATTATTATTAACCCAGAGAGTGTCAAGTAATTTGTTTCATCTGATTTACCGTTATGATGATAATCTAAGGGATGAAGATGATAATGATTATGGGAAGGAAATAAGAAAAAAATAAATCATTTTTTCTGATTCATTTTTTTTTCTCTGTCTCTGCAATTTGATCTCGATTGAAGGTGGAGGGAGACACACCCAATGTAACCTCAAGAAAATGATATTATTACCTTTGTAAGTGGTTATTAGGGTTAAAG